TTTACTGAAAGATTGTGTAATGTTAAAAAATTAACTTTCAGGATTAAGAGGAAGGATATTTTATATTGGAAAAATAAACAAAGATCCTGTTTATTTACGATTTGACTAATATTATTTATCCAGTTTTAAAAAATGAATAATTTAATATTAACATTTTTTTTTTTTTTGTTCTGTAGATTAGCTCTTGATATACTTTTGTCTGGTGTTGATTTAAAATTTATATTCCATTTATCAAGATCTTGTATGACTTTTTAATCCTTACTGTCTTCATACAAATCATATTTACGTTGAATAAAGTTGCTATGTTAATCCTATTTAATCCTAACTACCCAAGTTAAAATTTCTTTCTAGCATTTTATTTATTTTTCTATTGATTTGAATATTTTAAACCTATTAATTTAAATTTTAGTGAACTAATAATTTCTTATAGGTCAAAATAGTTTCGTTGGGTGTACAGTGGGTTTGTAAAGCTTATAGTGAAGAGAATTTTAGAAATCGTGCTACAGATACTCCTAAATATCAAGTGACTGGCGATGATTTAAAGTCGTGAGTATCCTAAAAGTAGTACTTTTAGTATTTTCATAATTATTGATTTATTTTAGTAAACTGTATTTTTTTTTTCCTTCCAACAAATGGAAAACAGTAGTGTGGCTGCTTCAAAAGATGTTTTTTTGCTAAGTTAATATATTCATTATAAATATATGTGTATGTTTTTACTTGGTCAGAAATATGTTCAAAATAATTGATAGAATAGATTACTTTTATCAAAATGTCTGCATATGAATCAAAATTTATTATTGAATATTTATTATTTCTACCGCTTAATGTCAAACATAGTTTCTTGCCCCATTTAGTTTAATTTGTTTGAATATGTATTCTGTGTTTTTTTACTCTTTATTATTGTTATTTATGAGTTGAGTAAAGTTTGTTGTATTTCGCTGTTTTGTTATTAAACTGTATCTTTTTTATAGAGATGATACTAGTTCGTAAGTGTTGATTTAAGTGATAAGTAAAAGTAACAGAGGTATATATTATAAGTAATTTGTCGCAGGTATAAAATCTCATATCAACTTAAAAAAATAAAAGTTATTTAAACCAGTGTTTTTCAATCCGATTTTCTTGAAGGGCCAGTAAAATATTTCAGTATATCATCGCAGACTAGTAAGAAGGTTATTTTTGGTTAATTTTACCAACAATTTTGAAGCCTCACCACACAAGAGCTGGATAAAAGTGTAGTGAATCATTCACATATAGTGGGAAAGAAATTAACTTAAAAACAAATTTACTAAGCAAGGAATCATACCTTAAGACACACACTATCATACCTTAAAACACACACTGTGGCAAATGAGTTAATTTTGGAATTACTCAACAACAAAAATCCAGAATGGATATGCAAGCTCCTCAGTAATTCCAGTTTTAATAGATGAAGCTTATTTAGAAATAAATTACTGTGAAACTTCATTAGTTATAGCTTTTATGGAAATTCTTTATCAAACATCTTAATTGTCCTCATTTTTTCTGTTGTGACTGTTGCATATTTTATTAATATGTTAACATTTCTTCTTATTTTCTTTTTTATGCAATTGTTTTTTTTTTTTTTTGAATTAGTAAATTTAAAATATTGTTTCTCAAAAAATAACTTCCATTGTGTTCAAAATACTGAAACTATTTCTTAAACAAATAACTAAATTCACCTTGTTTGACCATTGTTTAAAGTCAGATTTGTTTCAGATATCATAATATGTCAGGAAATTTCTGAAATCTCTCAAAACCAGACTCCTAAATCTATTTAGCTAAACTGTTTTGTTTCTAGATATTGTCTCTCTGAGCATTTCTCTGCTTTAAATGAATATAAGTTCCAGAATGACTTTTCCTAATTTTTTGTTATTCTTTCTTTTGTCTTTTTTTCTCTTCTGTCTTAATGTGAAATGCAGTTTCTGGCACTAGTTAATTTTATTTTCTAAATCATGTATGTATTATAATAACTATTTTAAACTTGTAGTTGGGCACAGCATCATTACATTTGACTGTTTTGTCATTAAATAGTATATTTGTTATATAAGTATCAGGTTGTAGTTGTTTTTTATTCTTTTGATCAAGTATACATTCTGCTTTCACTGCTTGAGAAGTTCTGATTAATCATGTATTTAAGAGGCAGCTGTTGTAAATTTGAAGATTTTTCAGTTCTTAATTCAGTATGCAGAAGAAGAAGAAAAATATATGATTTGAATTTTGGTGTTGTAAGCATATGTGACTTTTTAAAACGTTGAATATCTTTTTTTTTTCTTTCTTTTCAGAATAAAAATGATGAATATATTAGAGCCTTGCACCCTTCAAATTGGAGATAGGAACTATTTGGTAATGAAAGATAGCTATGAGATTGTGTCAGTGCACGATTGGAAGAATCGTATGTCAGGTCGATTGACAGTTGACAGCTCAGATTCTCCCATCCTGAAAAGGAGAAGTGCCAGAAAAACAGTCATTCCCAACTTCATCCAGAATAACAATATTGACTCTAATTGTGTGTCCAATGATACTGATAACTCTGATTTTGAAGATATGGATGATGAGGAGAGCGGCAGATCTTCGGATGCTTCATCTGTAACTAGTCATTCTACAGCATCTTCTGTCGA